TTAGATTATAATATTGATAAATCTCATCCCCCCTAAAGTTAGATTGAAATATCCCCCTAACCGCGGAGTGAAGCTGGCAAAGCTTCTTCACTTACACCATCTAGTGGATGCATGGTGCGAATGTAATCCCTCTGCGAAGGACTATACCCATTTTTCCCATCCCCATTCTACGTATGCTCGTATAGATCACATTTTTGTCCCTCCCCAGATGCTGGATGGCATTAGATCTGTAAGAATTAGAGAGGTCTCCTGGTCTGACCATGCTTTAGTTGTCATGATTTCTTCAGTGGCTCAACCTGCTCGAGGGATGGGCCAGTGGAGACTCAATGACTCACTCCTCAGTGATCCTGGGGTGGTTGCAGAGGTTCAGGCCTTATTGATGGAGTATTTCCGTATTAATACCCATTCAGTCCCCTCGTCCATCGCTAATTGGGAGGCTCATAAGGCTACTTTAAGGGGTCATCTTATTTCTATTGCCACACGTAAGAAACGCCAACGGACATCCCATATCTCCAAATTGGAGGGGCAGCTGTTGGCTTTAACACATATGCATAAACATAACCCAACGAGGGCTCTTCAAGATCGTATTGACCAGATTCGGTTAGACCTAAATTTAGCCCTTACAACTGTGGCGGAGCGGAGTCTTCGCTGGTCACAACATAGATTTTACTCTCAAGGGGATAAAATTGGGCATCTTTTAGCGGGCAAATTATCCCCTAGGGTTCGTAACCACTCAATCCCCAAAATAAGATGCAGATGGAAATTATTCGCAGAACCCCAAGGTGGTAATTCAGGAATTTGAATCCTTTAATACTAGATTATATGCTAATACTCATGCTTCATCTAAGTTATTAATACAGCAATTTTTAAGATTTTTTCATTACCTAACCTCAACCCTGAACATGTAGCCTTATTGGAAGGACCAGTCACTCAGTCTGAAATTAAACTAGCTATAGCTGAGCTAGCTAATTTTCAAGCTAGCCTGGTGAAATTCATATGGGGGGGAAGGCCTATCGGCTACCCAGGACTACGCTTTATAGTACCAGAGAGTCAGGGGGATTGGGGGTCCCAAATATACACCATTACTATAGGGCGGCACGTATAGCTCAGTTATCTGTTGTATATTCCAAGGAGGAACCACCGGATTGGGTCCTCATGGAATCTCATGCAGCCAAAGATCTACCTTTAGATCTATTGAAATGGATGCCTTCTAGATTACAACCACCTATTATGGCCCCTACTCTCTCTAATTCTTTAGCCATATGGGATTGTGTAAAAGCACATGCAAACATCAGTTCATCCCTTACTCCTCTTGCCCCTCTGTACCGGAATCCGGTATTTGGGCCTGGTACTCACCTTAAATCATTTAAATGGTGGCGGGACAAAGGATTATACAGAATTGGCCAATACCTTAGGTTAGGGAGACCCCTGACTCTGGATTATTGCAGGGAACATCTGGGCATGCCATCGTCAGAGCTGTTCCGGTATTATACTTTGGGCTCCAGCCCACTCCGACCAAACTTTTCACCTGGACACAGGGTTATTCTGTTCTGTGTTCATAATATTTCATTTTGACTGATCCTTTCTCTTTTTTTTTTCTTATTGTTGTTTTTTTTTGTGTGTGGTGTTTTTTGTTTAAGAGAAGCTTAGGGAGTATGTGGATAGCAACCCTGACTGGTAATAGCTATCTATGGTAGGCTGCGAAAATGTAAAGGTTATTTGATTGTATATTTCAAAGCATGTTGAACATAAAAATTAATGGGGAAACGTCCCCCTTGTTTTTTCAGACGGATGTTATAATATTATATGGTTGTATGTTACACATGTCTTTGTATGTTGTATGAAAATAATAAAAAAATTTGTGAAATAAAAAAATAAAAAATAAAATACAATAAAAGATTTTTAAAAATGTGAAAAGGTTACAAGAAAAAAAATTCTCAGTTTCGGTTTCGGCCTGACATTTCTTTTTATTTTCGGTTTCATTTTGGTTTTGAAAATGTAATTTCAGTGCACCTCTAGTTAGGACTGCATTAGGCAACGCTGCCCAGCACTACCGGTGTGGCCAAGCCCTTCATATTTTTAATGAACTCATTACTGCAAAGAGAACATTCCATAGTATTTGCTAAGATTTGTGATAATACTGTTTGCTCTTTGGTTAGTACATTTTTGTTTTCATTCCATGGCAGTAATAGAATTGTATGTGTTAGATCCCATGAGTATTCAGGTATTCAGTTAGAAAGAGGTCCACTTAAAAAAATCTTCAAACGAGCAGGAGGTGCTGCAATCAATGGATACAAATCTGTGTTGCTGACCAGGCAATTAATATAGGATTCTGGCAGACACTAGAGGGATAATCTACTGTACATATGTCTTGTGATTACAGAAGATAGATTTTATGAATGAGAAGGTTTCTGTAAGTGGATAGAGAAGACATCACCGAGATCAATGATATGGTAGGGAGTATAGAATGGATGTGGCTTCCCCTACTGTACTTAATCAATGCCAGCTCTATATTACCTGAAAAATATATATTTATATTCTATTAGTTTTCCCTATATGCAGAAATAAATTAAGGTTGTGTTCATATTATTGTGGCTTGGTAATGCCTCCATCTTACCACAATACACAGTAACATGCAGACCACATTGCATTGCGGTACCATTCATTTCGAATGGCACCCCAACACATATCCCCAAGGCCCCAAAACGAACCTGCATTTTAGTGCACCACAACGCACAGATGGTTCGCACTGTTGGGAAAAAAGGGGGGAGTTGCATATTTAGGACGGTTGTGGTATGCTGGCATATTATAATGAGTAGGTCGCCTTACCTCGATGCATGTAATTACAGGACATAACAGCCCTATGGACAAAGAAAGGAGAAGCTGGTCCAGAAGACGTGGTGCAGATCATGGCAGTGGCAATGGAGTTGTAATGAGGAGTGCAGACCTTTCATCCCTGTAGGAGTGCAAAGCGCACATTATGGCAAATGCTCCTGTGGACCTGTAGCAGATCAGTTCTGCTTTAAAATGTATTTTTTTTTAATAGATCAGACCAAAAAGAAGGACAACTGATGAGGAAAGAGGGACAGAGGAATATGGTTCCAAATAAAGGATGTTTGTGATCATTGTAAGTTGGTTGAAATCTGGAAGAAGGCCAGACGGAGATATGTGGGCTGATGAGGGAATCTCTGAGGACATTGCATCACTGGAGCCGAGGTAAGTATAGCTGGAGCTGAGGTGGATATAAATAGTCTACACACCCTTGTAAAATTGCCAGGTTTTTGAGATGTAAAAAAAAAATCAGACCAAGATTTTTGGTCACTTTAGATTTTTTGCACTTTTAAAACAAACTGAAATCTTTAAGGGGGGGGGATAAAAAAAACAAAAAACTTACAGGTATGACAAAGTCCTTTACTCAGGTACAAGACTTAAATAAGCGTTTACCCGCTTCCAGTGCAGGTGAAGCCCCGCTACAAGGGGAGATTTTTTTAACATTTTTTTAAGTTATTAAAGCTGAACTCCATGATAAGCAAATGTTGTCTAAATACAAGAGTACAGTATCTCACAGAAGTGAGTACACCCCTCACATTTTTGTAAATATTTTATTTTATCATTTCATGTGATGACACTGAAGAAATGACACTTTGCTACAATGTAAAGTAGTTAGTGTACCGCGTGTATATCAGTGTACATTTGCTGTCCCCTCAAAATAACTCAACACACAGCCATTAATATCTAAACCGCTGGCAACAAAAGTGAGTACACCCCTAAGTGAAAATGTCCAAATTGGGCCCAAAGTGTCAATATTTTGGGACTTGGACATTAATCTATAATAAAGACCAGTCACTGCTGCTCTCTCTCCTTGTGCTGGGTGACTGGTCTTATAGCTGCCCCCTCCTGTAGTTTTCTGCAGACAACCTATAGTGGGTGTTGCCTGCTGGGTCCCTCCCACAGCCGTGCGCTCTGTACAGGCCATGTACAGCACAGCGATGATGTCACAAGGTAATATTTGTGTTTGCTAACTTATTTGGTACACACAACGTAGATTTATATCATGTGGTCCTTGAGGAATGTATTTCAATTAAGGTTTCTTCCTCTGGAGTTCTGCTTTAAATATACTGGTTTTCAGAATTCCTTAGATCTCCTTTGGGACTCTGTATATCCCTTTAATCAGAGTAACACAAATGCTTTTGGCAGGTCAAGCATCTGTCATCTATGTATCTGTTTGCTTGGAGTTGATCTTTCATAGGAAACTGTCCACATACTTTGTTACATGTCATCCAGCCAGCACATTGCTAGCACACGTCATCACAGCTACTTGTAGCACCCTGAGCTGTCCTACCTGATGGGCAGGAAAAGTTTCCTGATGGACGATCGTAGGTATGTCCACACTAGCACTATGGTTCACACAGTGACAGGCAGCCGGCTTTGTGCCTCCACCCCTGACATGTCTCTCCTCCCCCCATCGTTCTAGCAGAGGGGAGAATGGGAGGGGGCAGGTAGTAAGCGCATCATCTGGCAGCTTCCTCCTTGTACACCCTTTGCTCGCCGGTGTGGGAGGCAGACAGGCGCTCCTCCTCCTCCTGGTCTCATCAGCCTCCAGAGACGTGTGAGGTCCTCTCAGATCCTCCCTCCGTAGCTTTCGCTTTGTGTGTCACTTCCCCGGCCAGCGAGCTGTCTTCTGATCGCCGCTCAGCATCCCCTGGCCTTGCAGCGCACTCCCCTCCTTCTGTACATCTCCAGCTCGGATTATTTCCAACTGCAATCTCCCCCCTTGACGGGAGGAACAGGAAGAGGGGGGGACATCTCATTTCCCTCCACCAGGCTCTGGGATTTTCCAGGCTCCATCACTGCACTCCCATTGCTAACCGAGGTGAAGATCTACATCCGCCGTGTTGGCTCTTTAACTTCTGGCGAGCCTCCTTGCTCTCGGGAACATTTTGGATCTGCTCGGATTTGTTGCATTTCCTTCCCTCTTGATCATCGGTGCTCCTCATCCACCATCATTGTTGTCCACCCTCTGCATCGATCAGCATGAGGCTGCTGAGGAACAAGCGCTTTAGCTCCTCTGGTCTGGGAGCTGGTCGGGAGCAGGAGCTGGCCAGGCCGGTCAGGAACCCTTTTGTGCATGACCTGCGCTTCACCCCGCTGCAGAAAGCCAAAGTAGGTCCTCAGTGTTGTCTGTGACTGCCAACAAACGTGGATCTGTCTCTGTACACATCCACATTGCATGCTGGAAGCCTACCCTGGTCCATGCTATAGCCAACCCAGGTCCATTCTGTAACCTACCCTGGTCCACGCTATAGCCAACCCAGGTCTATACTGTAACCTACCCTGGTCCACGCTATAGCCAACCCAGGTCTATTCTGTAACCTTCTCTGGTCCACGCTATAGCCAACCCAGGTCCATTCTGTAACCTACCATGGTCCATGCTATAGCCAACCCAGGTCTATACTGTAACCTACCCTGGTCCACGCTATAGCCAACCCAGGTCTATTCTGTAACCTTCTCTGGTCCACGCTATAGCCAACCCAGGTCCATTCTGTAACCTACCCTGGTCCATGCTATAGCCAACCCAGGTCTATACTGTAACCTTCTCTGGTCCACGCTATAGCTAACCCAGGTCCATTCTGTAACCTACCCTGGTCCACACTATAGCCAACCCTGGACCGTTCTGTAACCTACCCTGGTCCATGCTGTAGCCTACCCTGGTCCATGCTGTAGCCTACCCTGGTCCACACTATAGCCAACTCAGGTCCACTCTGTAACCTACCCTGGTCCACGCTATAGCCAACCCAGGCCCGCGCTGTAACCTACCCAGGCCCGCGCTGTAACCTACCCAGGCCCGCGCTGTAACCTACCCAGGCCCGCGCTGTAACCTACCCAGGCCCGCGCTGTAACCTACCCCGGCTCGCGATGTAACCCACCCTGGTCCACGCTGTAACCCACCCTGGTCCACGCTATAGCTAACCCAGGTCCACGCTATAGCTAACCCAGGTCCATGCTGGAAGCCTATCCAGGTCCATGTTTTAGCCAACCCAGGTCCATTCTGTAACCTACCCTGGTTCATGCTGTAAGCCTATCCAGGTCCATTCTATAAAACTCAGGTCCATTCTGTAACCTAAAAAACCAATACCGGCGCCTCTGGTTGCAAGATGGGCTGGTTGTGAAGTTGGCTTAAACACTCAAAGGGCAGCTCTCACTGGTCAAAAAGACCATCGATCTAGGAAACAAGGGACAAGACAAAGCGCCTCCATAGTGTAAAAGTGTAATTTATTTGTACAACACGCAAATGAAAATTTACTTACAGGAAAGTCGGTGGTTAAAAGCATACAAATGGTAATGAAGTATAAAATCTCTAGCAGCGGAAGTCTGAAGGAGTACAACACATCAGCGTCCTCTGCCCCCTTGAGTTCTAAAGGTCTACGCGTTTCAGGGGCACGCCCCCTTCATCAGAAGGCTTTTGTATGCACGCCCCCTTCATCAGCTTTTGTATGCTTTTAACCACCGACTTTCCTGTAAGTACATTTTCATTTGCGTGTTGTACAAATAAATTACACTTTTACACTATGGAGGCGCTCTGTCTTGTCCCTTGTTTCCTACATTTTGTAACCTACCCTGGTGCATGTTATAGCCAACCCTGGCCCATGCTGTCATCCTGCCCTGGCCCATGCTGTCATCCTGCCCTGGCCCATGCTGTCATCCTGCCCTGGCCCATGCTGTCATCCTGCCCTGGCCCATGCTGTCATCCTGCCCTGGCCCATGCTGTCATGCTGCCCTGGCCCATGCTGTCATGCTGCCCTGGCCCATGCTGTCATGCTGCCCTGGCCCATGCTGTCATGCT